AAGCAGCAGCTATTTGATTTTTTACCAACCAAGCTCTACTGATGGAAACTCTTTGCACACGTTTCTTTACCTTTCCCCAAAATAACATTTTTTAGATCTTGCAAATATCAGAATACAACTTTATGCCACATATGCTGTCTTTTTAAAGCACTGAACTCAGGTCCTTTAAGACAATCCGAGGCATCTTACTTTATACAGTTTAATGTGTCATATACGAGTGATAGTTATTATTATTTACCGATGTATTGTAAATCATTTAAGCTTTGTCTTTTGCTGAACAAAGCTGGCTTTTCCATAAACATCTTAGCCCACATTTAGTAAGTGAGTAAATAAGAAAAGCACTAAACCATTTTTCTAAATTTGATTTGTTCCTCACTGGCATTGCTCTCCAAAAATACTTGGTCCAGTGACTGGCAGAGGGCGCTTTGACCACTGCCTTTAAAAGTTGTGGCAGTAGTGGAGACTTGTTGAGGACCCTTGAATGGTTCAGCAGAAGCAGTGTATTCTGATAGTGCCTGCATACTATCATTTTACAGCGTGCCGACACCATTTTGCACTATTTATTGGATTACCAACAAAAAGTGTACATGTGAGCTGATATGATATATTTTTATTTGAAGTGTTTACCTTCTTTAAACTGGCCACTAGCAGTAGGTTTTTTCCCCCCCACATTCTGCAACAAATTGCAACTAGTGGTAACTAAATGGCCACCCTGAGCTTGAGGGTGCTGCACACTCACAACTAATTTTAATTGACTGCAGGGCAACTGCACCAGTTGCCTGATAGGAAGCAACCTTTCTGCAAATGTAATCTGGTGTTGCAGCACAAAGTGAAAATACTGGACAAGACAGATACTGACAATCTTATGAACAAATCTAGCAAATCTAACAAAGGTAGATTTGCCTGCTGCTGAACGCAAAAGAAGCACAAATTAAAGTTCACTCGTTTGAGGACATCACTTTTGAAAAAAGGTGATAAATTGCAGTATATGTTACTGCAATAAAATCAAAATAATAATTTAAAAAAAAAAAATCACAATAACATCATATTGTGGTAATATATCGTGGGTTGTCTGATGATTCCCACCTCTGCTGGGCTGAATGAAAACTGGTAACAATGAAGGATCTACCTAACTTATTATGAATGACTGGTAACTTGTATCCAGTCATCCATAATATAACAACAGTGCAAATGCAACACACCAGTCACTTGTTTAAGCATTTTTGGTTGATATGGAGAAGAGTATCTCAATATCCCTCTCACTGCTTGGTAGCTGGGGGTAGGGTGGGGGGATCCTTATGGCATGTAGAGACCATGAATATTAGGCTGAAAGTGAGGTTACAGGTCGCCAGTTGTGTGTGTGTGTGTGTGTGTGTGTGTGTGTGTGTGTGTGGGGGGGGGGTGTCAGATGTTTGGCCTGATGATGATGATACATTCATCCGCCCACAGTGGGACTATCTGTCCCTCTGGGTGTGTGGCCACGCAGATACTGTATAAGGGCAGACAGCAGCTGCACTCTAAATACAGATGGGGAGTCTCCCCAGTTATTACGTCTTCCTGAATGCACGATAATGTGCTGGTTATTAAATTACTCACAAATTTGTCATAAACTGACAAGAAAGCAGATTTTATGTAAACATCAGAAAAGTTTTTTTTAAACGACTCTAATATAGAATCTTATTTTATTTTAATACCTCAAAGTCGCTGCCAGTTGTTTGAACATTGCACCACCTGGCGATCGGCTCTGGTACCACCTCCCAGTCCGCGCTCTCCTGCTCCAAGAGGCGAACAAAGGTAGATTTGCCTGCCGCTGAACGCAAAAGAAGCACAAATTAAAGTTCACTCGTGTCATATAGCGTACTGCATAGACCTAGCTATGCGTCACACAGGTGCAATGTCGTTTAATATTTTCTTAGAAGAAGAATAGTCTAGTAGCAAATTGGCGGCAAAAGTAGTACATTAGGAGTACATCGTCTGAAGCTGTATACTGTTACACACAGGTACCCCGAGCAGCACCTGACATCCATCTGCGGACATTAAACCTTTACACTGAACTTTTTGTTTTGTCAAATGTGACTTTTGCAATAAGCTGCAGCACTCACCGATGTTCCCCTCGATAGAAATCCGCTTTATTCTCTTCTCCATCGAGTCGTTCATTGGGTCTGGGCATGGCCTTTTTGGAGTAAAAGACATCTTCGCAAAAATTATTAAATATTTTTAAAATGATCTTTAAAATATTCCTTAGGATGTTGCGGCAGCTGCTAGGATGTCAGCTTGTTGTTTTAGATTTCGCGCTCAACGTTAGGAAGCGGAAGTTAGCACAGCCGTGTATCCGCCCCGGAAGCAGCTGTTGCTTACGTCAGTAATTAAAAGAAGAAGAAGAAACAAATGTAACTCCCAATTCATTCAGAAATGTTTAACAAATGAGCTGTCACGACTTTCAAGTACTAAATTATGAAGTCTGTCACGTATGGATGCGTAAACACGAGTTCAATGTTGTAACTGGTGAGCCGTGCAACTGTTTTTATGCTGATATCTACAATAATGTAGTCCAACAGTATTTTCAAATATCTAATTTCATTGTATTTTATATGTAAAATTTGTTTAGTATAAAAAAATACACACATGTTTTTAGTAAAAAGGTTCAAAATATTTCTCTGAACTGCATTAAAGACTCAATGTGAGGTAGAAGTGGGTGGAACCAGAGTCCATGAATAAGTAATTCAGGGGATCGATCTAAAAACCAATAATATCGATAAGAACGCTGGTATTGGTATCAGACTGATGGTTTGTTTCTGTGCTCCAAGTTCAATATTTAGCCCATTGAACTGTATTATATATTTTTTTATTCTTTTGGCAGTGAAAAAACCCCATCAAACACGCTATGAAAATTGTCTGAACCCTTTCGTGTTGATTGCCACATCTATTTTATTAAATCATGACACATTGCTCTCCTCTACATAAACTGCCTTTATAGACGGCAAGACTGTCCCTGTATGTACTTCGCATGAGATTGATAACAAACTTGCAGCATCGCACAGCATTTACGTGAGCAGTGCAGGTCAATTTAGAGACTTGGGGCTATTTAAGTTTTATTAGATGTCTTCTTTCATTGAGAACATTGTACTATAGTTTAAATGCAGTTATTCCATGTTACACACCTTGACTGAATAGCTTGTATAACCACTCTTAGCAGCAATAACTTGAAGCAATCTTTTTCTTATGACTTTATCATTCGCTCATGTTGTTGTGGAGGCATTTTGGCCCACTCTTCTTTACGACCTTGCTTCCGTTCAGCGAGATTTGTAGACATTTACTTACATTTATTCACAGTTCTCTTAACGCCTCTCAACAGCATCGCAGTCAGGTTGAGGTCTGGACTTTGACTGGGCCATTGCAGCACCTTGATTCTTTCCTGTTTCAATAATTGTACTGCTGAGCTTGGGATCATCATTCTGGCTGCACAGCCTCACATATTACTCCAGAATACTTCAGTATTCAGGGATGTTCTTGGTCAACTCAATGACTGGAAGGTGCCCAGGTCCTGTGCTGAAAAACAGCCACAAGACCAGGGCACCTTGATAAAGAGTAAAGTGTGTCTTATTGGATAAAACACATATTGGCAAAGGAAGTGATAAATTGCAGTACACTTTACTGCAATACTATTATTGCTATTGCACAATAATGGTGCCATGTGATTTAAACATTTCAGAAACTCAAAATACCTAACCGGGAAAGTTTCATTTTGATAATAGTTGGGTTTCTTTTATTTTCTTAAAGACAGACACACACAGACACGAAAAGCAGCATAAAGCAGTTTAAAAAAAAAAGGAAAAAAAAAAAAAAAGGTTACAACTGTACTTGAGTACAGTACTTTATTAAATGCTTTACTCTGATCACCAGTAGCGCTGAGCTCACAGTACATAATGAACATACAAGTTTTTCAAAGAGTCAAGCCCACCTTTATTTGCCTTATAAACAGCATAAATCAATTCAGTAGCATTGAAAACCCCTACCAAGCCTTTATTTACAGACAATTCACCAATTACTTCAGTCGAGGAGGAAAAACCGTAGGCAACAGGCTATGTTTCGGGCATTTCATAAGGATGAGATGCTTGCAGGATGACCGATATTCTATTACATTTTCAGATATCTGGTGAGCAGTAACATTCATCATAATAAGCTAAGTAAGTTGGAAATGAGAAGATACTGAACAATCAAAACAAACAAGATTTTAATATCCAAAGAAAGGGAGAAGGAAGCAGCCTCTAAAAGGTATAAATGCACTCGTTTAACCAAAAACTATCACTCCATGCTTACTGAATCTTCCAAGACGTGTCTAACTCTCAGTATTTACACATGTGCGTTTATAAGTGTTATACCTCTGACAAATTTCAGATATAAAATATTCATGTCACCGTTCATTTTTTTTTTTGTTTGTTTGTTTTAACTTAACCTGACAGAGAAGCACTTCTGTATGCATCCTTCACCCAAACAGAAGACCTATAAAGAAATCTCAATATTGGATATAAAGTATGAATGAGCCAACTGGCATCCCCTTTTAGTGTCGTGTCAATTATTGCATAGTCAAAAACTACACTTTGCGATTGGAGAAAGGTACATGAATCTCCTCTTCGAATCACCACAACAACAAACCAGTCAAGAAAGAAAGCAATAAGAAGTCTCACTTGTGCCTTTCAGCTGATTTAAGAGGGAGTTAAATGAAATAAACTATGGTCAGTCACATGGTACAGCTTCTCCCAAAGCACAGCCAATCCATGTGGGGGTGGGGCATGGGGCAAGGAGGAAGAAAACATTCAAAAAATAGAGATCAGAAACACTGTTCAAAGTGCTTTACAGCCAGTATGATAACAAGGGATTCTGCTGTATCCAATTCATAATGCTAGCATGTCTCAAACAGTGGAGTCTAAACACAGATTTCTACATCTATTTCCCTACAATTTCGGGTTTTTCATCCCTTCAAAGTTCTTCTAAAACCTGTTACTATTTCTGTTACTAGTTTTTGAAGGGGAAAAACTAGTACACAGGGACATGTTACTAGACCATGCTACAAGATTCGTCATTTCTTAGTCCCTGCTACAGCATAACATCATTCTAGCTTCACTTCTATGTCCTTCACAACACATTCATGTATCATAGCCTGCACATTATAAAACTTGGCCAAAAGACTTTATAACTAAATAAAGTCGACGAGGAGCAGAAGAAATAAAGAAATAATTCTGAGCCAAGTTACAGGACACATAGGAAAAAAAAATAGGGGTGGGGGTGTAAGAAGCACAAACTTAAAAGGGACGTGGTGAGGAAAATTGAATGAATCAATCACATCAGTGTTATATGGCCTTTGATATACTAGGGCAATTATGAGCCATGCTAGGCACTTAGGATTCTTTTGTGACTGATGTTATGATATTACAGATGTGGACAGTAGCAAACCTAGATCAAATCAAATCAAGATCCTTCTATGTTAAAATAAACCAATAATATTCAGTTATTTATCACACCACCCTATGATACAGCATCTCTGCTTAATCGCTACTCTCTTCTATGATGGAGCTGGAACCTAATAGTATGTTATCTTAAATTCAAGTGGGACAAAAACAAAACATCTGTGCAGTCAGGTAGAAAATTAATAAACATATATCCATCTTATCTTAAAGTAAGCCGTGATAGAATATAAGGGAAATTTCTTTTTTTTTTCCCCCATACAGCTAATGTTAATCTGTGGTTTGCTCAATTAACTTAATCCCTGATAGCATTAGTCCTGGTGCCTTTAACCTAACAACACCCTTCCTTCTTCCTGGCCTTATTAAAAACATTTCCCCAAATGGAAATAGTACATACTGCATACATATAGCCAGGGTGGGGGTGGGTGGGTATCTGTGCAAAAACTAGAAGAGCAATAAAATAAGGATTACAGGGCTGTTTATCTATCCTTGGTTGTCAGTTTTTCAATCAGCTCCTGTAGTGGGACCAGCTCTTTCCTGTCAATGAGGTTGAACTCCTGTGAAAGACAAAAGAAAAAGGAGCAAGCATTACCCCATGACTCGACACGCTACAGCCCTTGTTAGCAACGTGCCGCATTAGTCAGATATCAGGGATTCTTTACCTGAACAAAAAAGATGAAGTGTTTGAATGATGTGTTGAGGTGGGCCTCCTCTTGCAGCTGCATGACGGAGTCAAAGTGCTGGTGGTAGATGTGGGCGTAGACCCTGAACAGACGCTTCAGAATGGTCTTCGCCACAGACATAAAATTACGCTTAAAGGGCACGCCTTGGGAACAAAAGAAAGAGAAGGAAAGTGTTTCGAAAAAACACCAGAGAGCTCGACATGCAGCTACATTACAGTCTGCCAGTGAAAATGCTGCAGTCTGCACAGGCAGGCCACAGCATGATCTTAGGGAAGCACAAAGAGTGATGAAAGCAACACAGCAACACCTCATGTTCACTGTGCCGAGGATTCATCTGCAGGAAAGAAAGTTTTAGTTTCAACAATAAACACTAAACTAAACTGCTGCAGAGCACAGAGGCTTCTACAGAGAGCCACCTACCGTACAAGTCAATATAGACACTAGGACGAGTAAATTAAAGCTTCAGATGCTGAACAAATGAATGCACGCTTATTGAGCCCCGAATTGATTTTAACATGTGTGCAATGGGTACTTCATCACAACACACACCTCCAAGGAACCTTGAAGATGCTGGCAGGTTTTGAGGTTATTTCTGGCCAAGTGAACAACAGATCATAGGCAATGGAGTGAATTGTGTACCTCCAGGGCAGCACACTCACCACTTCTACTAATATGTACTGAGTCTATCAGACTGCAGTTTATGCTGGCTGCCATTCAATAGCAATAAAACTCCACCTTAGACTGCACACGCCACAACTAGTTATGAGGCTGATAACTGTAGGTATGCAAATACTACCACTTAACAATCCTGTACACTGTCATCCAGGAAGATCTCTAAATGTGTTAGGTTATTACATAAAATTAAAAAAGACAAATGCACCGCTACATTTAAATAAGGAAAACTTGAAAAGTTCACATTTCTGCTAAGTTCATCATTTCTATTACTTGCATGCATTCATTTTGCGTGGGAGCTGGATTTCTCTGGTAATAAAAAAGGCTGTGCATGTATTCTGAATCTCCACACACCTTATTGTTTGATGTACGACATGTGCATTAAAACGATAACTGAGGGTGAAGGCTGGTAGAAACTACAAAGTGAATCATACCGATCTTTGAAGGGAAAAGCGTCTCATCGTCGAGCTGGTCTTGCACCCAAGTCATGAGGTAATCAATATACTTGGGAGCAGAGCATTTGATGGGCTTCTTGATGTTGGTTCCATCAGCCCAGTGGTACTCATACCTACAGGAAATAACAATGAAAAACACACTGAGCACATTTATACCAAGAGGAATTTTTGGCTGACTCAAAAGAGAAGGAAGAAAATCCCGAGTGTTATAACAAAAGCTTAATTGAGCATAATGAATATTCATGTTAATCAAATTCTCAGAAACAGGAGAAAAATGATTTCTGCACATCTAATGCACACATAATCGTGTGTTTTGTTTGTTAATAGGTGGATCTTTAAACGTAAACTTCTGTATATTAAATGAAAGGTATGTTATCATGCGATTGTTTTATTAGTATGGCCCAGCTGAGATCAAACTGGCCTGTGTGGCTCAGTAACTACAAGCACTAATCACGCTTATGCGAGCAGTCCCTAGCCAGAGGCCCATTCTGAGCAAGGAAAAACCCCGTTATGGTCTCCATCTGGACTTATTCAACACTGATGTAATCAACTGTAGCAAAGTGGTCTTTCTCAATAAGCAGATAATATACAAGTTGTCCTGGTTCGAGTAAGAGTTGATGCTAGTCACCAAACATTTTCTAATAGGCGTTTTTTCCTTTGTAGAATTAAATCTAAATTTTTATCAGCACATAAAAGACATCTGCTGCAAATCTACTGTGACAGCGGGAGTCCAAAACAAAAAGATCTATGTCACAGGGTGTATACGATTATGAAGACAAGTGCATTTTCCAAATCCTGACCCTGCTCAGTCTCGTCACACAACAAAGACTGAAGAATAGCCCATGGGCTAGTTTTATGAGTTTTAATCACTTACTTAGGACCAGCAGACATGACTGGACAGCTTTCCTCAGTGCAAAAATCTGTGATGGTGCCATACAGCATGTTGATCTGGTTGAAGAAGTCCACAGCTGGAAAAATGTGAAATAAAGAAAAACATTAAAATTGTGTTTAGGCAGCTTGTTTTCATTTCTAGTGCATCACACACTCCTGTGTTAGTGATTTGCAGAAGGCCTCCTTTCACCTCTACTCTGTAGTTATAATAGTGAACCAACCACTCACATGTGCACACTTGCTAAACAAACTTGATACCCCCAAATATAATTTTCAGAGTCTAAACTTAACCAGCATGTGAAAGTGGGAGGCAAAAAACTGAAAACAGAACAGAACACAAAACTCCCATTTGGACACAAACCATGGTCAAACAGTGTGGGGACTACCTCCTTGGTGTTAAGGCACAGACACGAAAGGACACTTTCACACCTCCTTCAGCAGTATACTGCTTGTACTACTCCCTTTCATTACTTTTAACTTTTGGCAATATATTTTTCTGTTCCCACAATGGTTCCAGCTTTTTGGTAATGGCACTATTATGATTATGATGATTATTATTATTGTGGGTGGAAAAATTTGCAGGACAAGTTATAAATTGGGCACCAATAGTGCGTCAGTGAAAAGGGTTACTTGAGGACATTTCTGCAAGGACAATATTTGCTAACAGAAAGGCAGTTTCTGGCCCTGGGGATGAAAAAGTGTTGCTATATGACACCAACTGTAGTGTTTGCCAGCACCGATTGCTGGCATCAGATTACCCCACAGCACTGTGCCTATCCCTATTTCACCACCCAGGCCAAAACTGTAGACCAGTGCACAGTCCAGTTATCTGGCACAAACTGTGCTACAACTCATTCCCAGTGGCATACAGCCAACTTTGGCTTCCCATCAGTTGGGGAGATCCATTTTAAGCACTGGCAGCATTTGGGTTGAGAGTGTAACTTAAAAATCCCATTGAAAAAACAAAACGCACACAAAAAAAAAAAAACCATACTGACCAGTTGTCATGGCATGTGGTTTGTCAGGTTCACTTTGAGATCCCTTTAAAAACAAAAAACTGTCCAATCATAGTTGACAGAATATTTTTGTATGCTGCTGTACAAAGCCAATAGTCCAAATTCCTGTTTATGCCACCAAACATACTGATGTGATTACAGCCTAGAAATGAATATTCCAGCGTAGAGCAGGGCGATATGACCATGCCCCGACAATCCATCAAGCGGTGCAGGTTTGTAGCTTAGCAAAGTCGTACTAAAACACCTGACAGATTTACGAGTGCCGTGTACCACATAAAATCTTTTCCAGGTCAGTAAACACAACCAGAATTCATACATAAGGCACACGGGATTATAAGGGGCATTGTTGATTTTCAGAAAAATCAAAGGATTGATTTTAAGTGTGCCATATTTTCCAAAAAACACGTTAATAACGACGGCCCGCTAGCATGCTCTACCAAAAATAGTGCTTTGTTGTTTATTGAACGGACGAAAGCTAAACCAGTTCAACACCACTGAAGTTGCAGTATTTTTACAAACCAATTCTGGTTCATCCGTTTCATTCGACGATCCGCTTTCGCCCTCCTCATTCTCCGTCGCAGCAATGCTTTTTCCGCCATGTACATATGAAAATAAAGGCACTGCGCATGCGCATTTTACCCATATTCTATCATGATATTTCATTCTCTTATCGTTGCCCAACATTATACTGGTATTACCGTGAACGATATGATATGATCCAGCCCTATACCAGTGAGAGAAAGCAGAATTATCTTAATGATATAAAATAGACTAAAAATTCAGGAGCCAAAATCCGTCTGGGGAATACCTGATGCTAAGCTCTAACAGATGAACCTCAAACCTTTTTTCTGTTTTCATTCATAAAGCTAATAAGAACCCTAAAATGATGTAACAGTCAGTGATAAAACGCTATCTCTTCCTGTGGTCCTTTATTTTCCTGTAATCTTGCTTCAGCCTCTTTATTTTCACCCACATTGCTTCACTGTGTCACGCATACCCAACAGCAATTTGAGGGGAAAATCCTAGCAAAGATTTCAATGTAATGCTTGGGCGAGGCAAAACTGCATTGCATTTCCTTGTCCCACTCAAAGACTCAAAGACACGACTTCACTGTCAACTCATTTCTCCATGCATGGTTCCACTTTCAGGGCTAATGTTAAGAGTTGCTGTAGCCAATGTTTGACCAACATTAGCGCTTTTCTGTCGACTGTGTTACTCACTGTTCCTCTTATGTTTGGAAAAGGTCTCAAAAGGATCACAATAACGCATTTCTAAGTGAAGACACTGGAGAAGAGAGGGTACTACCTCCAACAGTTACTATGAAATAGTTCCTAAAGGGAACAGATGGGTATCCAGCTAGGCAATTGGTTAAGATACTGGTCAGATTATTTCCCCATGTTCAATTGTACCTGGAGACCTTTTACTGCATGCCAGTAACTTCTCCTTCTACTGTCACTATCCATCCATTCATCCATCCATCCATCTGGGGTTGAACAGCTGCCACAGGACTGTGTTGCTATCCAGTACATGCAAAACAATCTTAAAAACATGAAGTGGACGGCTTCTCGTGAACACAGATCATGTGAAAAGTCATTTGTGCTTGGTGGTGGGAGAAGTTATTGCTCACAGCACTTTTATTCTGACTTCACTCATTGTGCAAGCTGCAACAGCTTGTGCAATACTAGCCAACCTTGCTTCTACCCCTCTGTGAATCTGGAGAGCACAAATATTAGGAGTGCAGCAGCGGTGGCGGCAGCAATTCAGAGGTGCAGTTAACAAAGCTAGAAATTGGGCACGCCTAAAATTTTTTCTTAAGAAAGCATCTGACAGACAATCACGTGTTAAAAAGGCTGGGCTCGTGATTGTCTCCAACCCTGAAGGCTTTTTGACGCATGAGGATTTAAGCATCCACTGACCATTTGTCTCCTTTTAGAGGAAAGTAAACAAGGCGCTCACAGCACAGACAATAAAGTCTATTTAACATTCACGGTGGCTGCTCTGGCATGAATGCACATGGTCTTTGGAAGCAATGCCAAGCTCTTACAGCTTGATAGTTCGCTCGCAACTGACTCATGATTTGGACTAATTAAGAGTCAGGAACAAGACTTGAAGATATTAAATGTTTTTCAGAAGTGTGCTGAGCCCCTTTAGCCAGGAATCTAAACCTAAAATAAAAGGGTGTATCAAGAGAGAAGAAAAATAAATAAAACTCAGTGCTTACTGTTGACTGCGACCCACTCATTTAAGTCTTCACCCTCAGGCAACATGACTGCCATGCGCAGGTTTCCACTCCCCAGAGTAGCCTCTGCATGTTTCAGCAGCTCATACTGATGAGAACCCTCCGGGATGTTCTTCTTGGGCTTGAATGTTTTAGATGAACGATTTCCACTGTGTGAGTCACACATAAAACCGGAAGACAAAAGGTAGAATAAACAAAAAGACAGAAAGATATGATAAGAAATCATGAGGTCCCCGAACACTAATGTGAGGTGACCTTTCAAAAAAAAGTTGTGACTTTCTTAAAAAGATGTCAAAGGGAGCTTAAGCTCGTTTGAGTTTAGCAGAATGTAAGTGGGTGTGTGTGAACAGTGTGGCCCCTCTCTGTATAATGAGGCTATTTGTAGAGGTACTGTATTCAGTTGATCTCACTGCCCCATTAAACAAGAATTTGTGAGTCCTCACAGCATGGGTTGGACACACAAAATAAATGTTTAATTAGAGCATCCTCTAATGGCAAGATCCGACCCAAAATATCCTGTAGCATTTCTGTAATTCAAAATAAGTATGTGCCATTATCAGGATACTGTTGTTCTTCATTAGCCATTTCCTTCGAGCCTCCCCATATATACCAAGTACACAAAAATTAAGATGACGACAACAACAATAGTAAATCTAGACCTCATCTTCTTCAATCTAACTACAAACTATCAGAGTAGGTGTGTCTGACGTTTCTCAGCTTACCTCAAACAGACATTATTTTAATAGCTGGCTAAATATCGACGACATACTGTGGTGTTACTTTGCTGCGTTTAGCGGTAGCAGTGCTGTGTTAGATTAGCCGGTGGCATCAAAGTGTTTACACCAGCAAATATCCAAGTCACAATCAAAACCCTCCATCTCTCTCGAGGCAATTTGTCAGTGGACCTGTTCTAAGTAGGTGAAATTTCTCTTTTGGTCAACTGTAACCACTAGCCTTAAAGTACCGATGAATATGCGATTAGTATTGATTACAATTTGAAAGTGTAGTGAAAGCTACAGAAAATAAGGCGAATCAGTAGCAGTCCGAGGTACGTCCAGGAAATAGTCTAAGCCCTTGAAACGCTACGGCTAGCTAACTTTCTAGCTGTTGCAGCAAAGCTGGCATTTCCCAAACACGAAGCTAAATGGCGAGACAAAATAAGCGTGTATCGAAAGGTTGTAACTCACAAAAGAAAGCTCATGTTTCCTCGGGTCGCCGAAAAAAAAATCCCTTCTTGGAAAACAGCCGATAATAAAAGCAGAGTAAAGGCAGCCCAAAAGGATTGCCAAAAACTCTAAAGCCTCGCACTTCCTCGGTTCTTCTCGGGCTTAGTCGTGTGGTCCTTGTTAAACATCCGAAAAAATATAAATATTAACAGAAATAACTACCCACTAGTTTTTAAAAAGGGGGAAAACAGATGTATTTTAAAGACAGACCAATCTACTAGCTGCTGTACGCTGGGAGGCAGCAGCGCACTGACTGCAATACTCACTTCTTCATCTAACCTTGAAGGCAGAGAAGACGCAGTTCTACTGTGTGCTGCCATCTAGTGGAACAAATGGTTCAGAACTACTGTTCTTTCCTTTGAATAGGAACATTTTAAGCAAACATGTAGGCTACTTTCTATATATTATATTGAAGAATAAAGTAATATATTTTACGAAACTGGCGTATGCTTCAGTATTTATGTTTTTTATGTTTTCTTCATTAATTATTAATTCACTGATATTTATAACGGCCTAGGCTACATGTCTTTGTTTGTTTTTTTATTTAACTGTGATTCAAAAATTATTATAACTGATGCTGCTAGCTAAGTTAAAATTACAGGGTAAATGCTGTTGAATTTGTTCGATAAAAAATATAGCCTGAAGATGGAGCTGTTTTCTTGAAATATAAAATGGAAATTTCATAGCCAGTGTCACGATCTGTGCTGCCTTCATGTCCGTTGGAAATCTAGGAAAAGCGTCGGCATTTCCCAGATTTTTCAGTATAGTTTCCCTCTTACAGCGTCTCTTTACCTTCTCTGAACAAAGGGCAACCTCGTATTGTCTTTAATGATAAGACTAAATAGATATATGTAAACATGTTTGGTCCTTCTAGTTATCTTCCTCCTGTAAAAAAGCATCTTTAGTTAGACTATTTAGGCTTAAAAAAACTTGTGGCGCACTAGGACCCTCCAGCTCCGTGTCAGCTGACTATGTAGCCAGTTATATGCGACGCCAGACCGTAGCCCGAAGGTTTTTTTCAGCTTGGGTTGGGAGAAAACGGGTCGACTCGCCGTGTAAGGCCCATGTCTGAAAACCCAAACAGACGTTCACATTTCAGCAGAAAGTCGACTGCACAGCACGGCAAAGCCAGAACAGGTAAAAGCCTTTTTTCCCTATCCAAAATCACTCCGCCTCGTAGGGAGCAGCATTAGTGAGGCGTACGATGACAAGTCCTCTGTCTGAGCTTATGTTATTTCTTTATCCGCAGCAGCAAGATGGAGTGTGAGTGGAAACCAGACGAGCAAGGACTTCAACAAATTTTACAGCTGCTGAAGGAGTCTCAGTCGCCTGATACGTCCACACAGAGATCCGTCCAGCAAGTATCCTTTTTGAGCCAGATATGGATGATATAATCTGTTAGTGATTTAATAACAAAACAGACTCAACAGGCTAACGATAGCTAATACTAGCCTGGGTGGTTACAGTTACAAGCAGGTACGCTCGTGCCTTTTTTGTCTCGCTTGCACGCGCTACAAACGGAGCAGGTCGTGCTAACATCATTTGACATTAAAAATGCTATAAATTGTCTTGCTTGGTTAATACAATAACCAACGGTAGCTTCTAATTGCTCCTCCTGTACACCTTTACCTTGCATATTGCTTCGGCAGAACATCATAATAAAACATGTCTAAAGCCCCGGTATATCATCTGCAACTTAATCCTCAATTAAAGCTAAGCTTACCGGAAACATGCTACTAATTTAAGTTAACATTCGAATTAGAAATTCTGTGCATAATATAATGATGTAATGGTGATTGTGTTAATTGTGACAGTAGTGTATGCAATGCACGAAATTGCTGGATTTTACTAGTGCAACAGAATCTGAAATCTCCTGTTCTAAAACAGGAGTTAATGGAGTGGAATAAGAAGCCATCATTATTCAAGCATTTTCGCTGTGACATTTTACTCTGTCACTTTTCCAAAGGGTGCCAGGGATTATCAAACAAAACCGTATTAAGGTGACCTCTTCCGGCTAGATTAAATGGCAAGCACTAAAGGGTAGGTTTAACATGTAAGTGCTTTATTAGCTTTACTCTGTAGCTTGGGCACTGTATTGTCACACAACACTGTGCTAGTGTTGTGTGACAATGCAGTTGAGGAGCAATCATCTGCTGCTCAGAGCTGCTGGTCCTTATGTTTTTGGCTACGTTCACACTGCAGGTCTTAATGCTCAATTCCGATTTTTTGATCAAATCCGATTTTTTTGTCTGCTCGTTCACACTACAAATAAAATGCGACAGCAAACGCTCTCTAGTGTGAACGCTCAAAGCGGCCCGCATGCGCAAAAGAAGATGTCACTCACAACGCGCTCTGTTTAGACCCAGAGCAACAGTATTGTTTGACTGATGGCCCTTAATATAAAGACTTCGGTCTTCACGTTTCCCAATTTTTGCTTTAAGTTATTTTGTTATTTACATAATAATGTAAATAACCTAATAATGATCCTTATTGCCGTTTAAGAGAGGAGCGGTGCTTCAAAGGATAGCTGTAGATTTCTGTCAGAATCTGCAGATTATACAGTACAAATAAAATGTTTACGTTGTCTTCCCAACAGTTTCACTGACATCCACACTGGATGGCCAGGAAGCGTTCGCGATGTCTTCTCGGGCGCTGATAATTGGCTTCAGTCTTGTGTCGGTGACGTAAAAGGCGGATTTAATGCGACTTGACCGTTCAAACAGCAGTCGCTTTCTAAAACATCGGATATGTATCGGATTCAGTACCACATACGAAAGTGACCCAGATCGGATTTGAAAATATCGGATTTGCCCCGTTCACACTGTCATAGCATGATCGGATATGGGTCGCATAGGGTCAAAAAATCGGATTTGATGCGCTTTCGCCTGCAGTGTGAACGTAGCCTTTGTCTGGTTTCATGCAGGTCCTTAATAAATTTCTTATGTAACCCTTCATACAGACTGTCTCATTAACTCATAGACTAGCTGCTGTCATAGCCCTAAAGATGCCATCTGCCAGTACAGTCATGCCAAATGACACATTTATGACCCCCTTACAAGCATACATCCAGTCCACTCACACACACTGACATACGCTCCCATCATTATGCTGTTAGATTAGACCACTCCTCCTCTTTATATGGGGAGGAGGAAAAAAAACTCTTTTTGGCTTTATTGTTGTTATCAGATTACAGAATGCAGTGATGTTCTTTCAGCCTTTTAACATGCTCTTCGTACATTTGTAACCCTTAACCATTTCTCCCAGAGACTCGAGCAGCTGAATCAGTATCCAGACTTTAACAACTATTTGATATTTGTTTTGACAAAGTTGAAATCAGAAGGTAAGCTGTCCGCCCTTCTCCTTCGCTCTGTCATTTTGTGTCTGTGGTGTGTTCCTAGATCGTCTAATAGCACCTGGGCAGCTGTCGTTTTTATGTAACTGCTTATTGACAGGTCAGCCCGGCTGAGACTTGGGTGACCTGATGGCATCTTTGTTGCAAATGATGTGCCACACAGAATATGGGCCACTCTAATTTTAAAGCTAAATCCTGGCACTGCTCAACTTTTGGCTTGACTGTCTGCACAGCAGATGACCCAAATGTTAAGTGGTGTTAAGACCTTTTCGGTTGCATGACGACCTTAGCTCAGATGCAACAAGCCACAAGTGTTTAAACAAAAAAAATGACCGAATTTATTACTTACCCATTTTAAGCAAACAGTAAAATAGTTTCTGTCCACAATGTTAGTATAAATGTCTGAACATAATTTCTGTAATACTCTGCTTGTGAAAAATGAAAGGAAAGCAATTTAATGTCTGAGTCACCAGCCTTCATTTTGATCACAGCTAGAGTGGAATTTTCACATTTCCTTCCTTGGCCTTTTCTCTCCCAAGATGAACCGACCCGATCCTTGAGCGGGCTGATACTGAAGAACAATGTGAAAGCTCACTATCAGAACTTCCCTAATGGCGTGTCTGATTTCATCAAGAGTGAGTGCCTCCAAAACATCGGAGACTCATCTCCTCTGATTCGGGCCACTGTTGGTAAGTCCCCTCTCTGTCTTCTGATTGTAATGTTGTCCTTAGCATCCATGCATACCTTTTTATGTTTAAATGTTTTCTGTTGTTATGTACGTTGCTTTGTTGTTCCTGTAAATAACTTCCTTATTTGTTTAAACTACATGCTGAAATATAAAACCTACAGCTCACTATATTGGGAACATAATCAGCATTTGCAGACAAAGCAGGGAAATAAATGACAATGAATATTTACACAACACCTTATTATTGGTTGTGATGGTTGTATATTATTTACACTAATTAAACCGATGAAAGGGATTTGGGATAGTAGCTCATTTATTTTCTTATTTTTAGGGATATGGTTATGTTTTTAGTAGAAAATGAGTCTGCTTTTCTGTGTTGTTTATATTTCTTTATTTATCTAGTGGGCAGAAATCTATGAAAAAACCCTTAGAAATAAAACTCCTGCAGTTCTCCTCTCTCCATTCTTAACCCCTCCCACCAGATTAGCGTGGACACATAGACTTGCTGTCAAAAGCGTGCTATTGCTGACTTTTGACTTCAGGCACTCAAAGTTTGCTCTCTCAGGTTTTCACCGCTGCTTGGCTAATCTGGCCTAACGGACCTGTAACTGGCTCAAGATTGTGAAGCCTGAAAACAGAGCTTAGAGGCGGTGCAGTTATCTCTCAGACCTTGTCAGTTACAGTATGATTGAAGGCTACTGTGAATTTCTTTTTAATCTATTTCTTTTTAATCCAGTGAGAGCAAAGCCCTACACTGGCTTTAAATGCCTCTAAATAGTCTTCCTTAACTCAATAGGCTACTGTATCAGAATGTTAAAGGCCAGCTTTTAAATGCTGGTTTGGTCTCCCAAGCATTCCCTGCCATTATTGCAGAATCTTGATATTAACATTTGCATAATTAGGGGTCATCCTGCTGTTTAAGCTAACTTGAAGCTATTTATGTGCTGCATTTCTGTTATTTCTATTCACATGGATTATAAACAGAAGCGCTTTATAATATTAAATGTCTGTTTCATTATATCCTGTGCATGATTTTGGTTTAATCAACTAACTCAACCCACTCTGACAACAGGCATCCTCATCACTACAATTGCCTCCAAGGGAGAACTACAAAACTGGCCGGAGCTGTTACCCAAACTCTGCCTGCTGTTGGATTCTGAGGATTATAACACATGTGAAGTGAGGACAAACAAATCAGAAGCTTATAAATTAATTTCTTTTAGGCACTAAGCTGATGTTTGCTGGTGGTGTCACAAATGTGTTGATACGGGTGAAAGATGTGAAAACTATTTCTTAAGGGTTCTACAGATGATGTTTCCTGTAATAATCCACTAACACCGTGTTTCCTCAGAAATGTATGTACTAACCCAATTACAAATGAGCAAACTATATATGAACAGGAAATCACTTAGATCATTTCAAAAGTTCTTAAAAATCTAAAATTATCTTGTAACACACTGAACTGAAAATGCATCATACAAATACAATGTGGCTCTAAAATCTTCTGCAGTAATCAAAAATATGAGTTTGATTTTAATAAAATGTCTTCTGACGAAACTGACTTGGTTAAGATGGACTCAAATGTTGCAGCTGAGTAGCCATGATGTATTCATGTTTCAGTCACTCTGTAGCACATGAATAGTGCTCCGCAGGAAAGTGTCAAAATTCGACATTTCATTACTAAAAAAAAATCACACAAAGAGTCCCGAACCAGCTTAAAGAATCCAACCTGAAATGCAGTGGGCTCAGCGTTAATATGGCAGCAGCCATTACTTTGCTTGATATGGACATGACGCTAATGTCATTTTGTAATATTATCATCTGCCAATGACTCAGATTTCTTCCTCTTTAATTACCGTGCTTTCAACTCATCAGAAGTTTAACAAAAGCGTGTGTGTGAGTATGAGAATGAGAGGCCGCTTTTTGCCATAGCTGTGTTGGAGATGGGTGGGGAGTGCTGAGATTAAGCGTGCACATATTTCTGACTGTATATTACAGCCCATGTGTGCTGTAATTAAGCATGTTTCCCTGTCTGGGCACACAGACAGTTGTGCGTGTACTGTTTATTTGTTTATTAATTAATTTATTGTGGAAAGAAAAGCTGGCTCAGCTATAAAGCAGCATCTGGATGGTATCCTGCTGGCCAGATGAGCTAAAGACATTCTCACAGCTGGAGCAGCCGCTGCAGACTGCAGATTATTCAGCTCTGACTCAATTATTCTCTCTCTTTTTTTTGATCATCGTCCAAATATGCTTTACTTTTCAAAACGCCGATAACTACATGCTGTTGGGTCATATTTCATCTTTACAGGCCACCATGATCCACTCTGTTTTTTGTTTTTTTTTTAATATCTTTAATTTTTCTGAATGTTCTGCAGAATAAAACTCAAGTGCTTGTTCTTCTAAATGCTCCATTGCAGCAGCCACGAAAATGACAGTACAGTTGTTTGTTGTGACTGTTAGATCATCTGATTTGTGTAACCATATTCAAGCTCATATAAACTCCCAGGTCATTAGTATTCTGTCAGCTGGATTTGCCCATGACATCAGAATTAATAAATTAAACGGCATGTTAAAGTGTCGTGGTAAATTCAGCTGTGTCTTAGGGCAATAAAAATACATGCTGACAGGATTATTACTTGTCGATGTGATTTAAAGTAATTTAAGGAATAGGTGTGACATAAAAAAATAAATCTTTGTGTAGCACCGCTGCTAGCCTCCTTTGTAAAGCTTGTTCAGAAGCTGAGATTTAGGTCAGGTAGTTACTGCAGACCATCTTGAAGTGTGTGTGTGTGTGTGTGTGTGCGTGTGCGTGTGTGTGTGTGTGTGTGCGCGCGCGCGTGCGTGCGTGCAAGAGGCTTAACACTCAAGCAACCAAATGTAGAAACTCCTTATAAGACCAGCTATGTTTTTTGAAAAGAAGCTTGAGGGTTGGAAAGCTTCTTAATGTTTCTTGTTGAAGATGGTCAAGTTGCTGCACTGTGAATAACTAGGAAGCAAACAAATAATCATTACTATATCTCTTTCCTCCCAAAGCACAACATTTGATGACCTCCCTTCTAACCTTGATGAGTTTTGACACCTCAGTATATATCAATGAAGATGTAGTTTGACAACCATTAGAATAGTTTCCAGGTTTTTCCAAGGTTAGCTGCATCAGAAGAGACCATCCCCACCAACTTCTAGTGCACACCCAGTTATTTTATGTTTATATAAGCAGGCCAAAGTTTGAAATAAAAACCTCAGTGTAGCCAGTCAGAAGAGATGCTGTCATACATATGTCAGGATGTCAGTGGGTAGTTTGAGCTCTTGTTGGCAGAGTTGAGGCCGATTTGAGGATAACTTCAGAGAACCGTGACCCAGAGCAGCATCTAGCTGTGTGTCTGAGGTAAAATACGATTATTTTACTATTTCAACGTCATTGTATATTTAGCTTAGTGCATTTTTTGAGCTACGAACGCAGTTGTTTCCAAATTAAGTGCTCTGAATGGTCAGATCTGTTTATTTCCATGCAAAATATCAGAAAAATCAAGCTTGATTCAGGGGGGGGGAATGAAGGTTTAAAATTTGTCCTGTGATATTACGCAGTTGGTTTGAAGGGCTGCATGTAAAAATAGGCAAGTTCAAAAAATATTAACACTAAATATTTGCCCGAATTGTATACATCTGGTGTGTAAAGAGTTTAAGTGTGAGATAGATGGGGGCTATTGGGAAAAGTGAATCAGCTAGTCTAGAGTCCAAGATTTAAATATTGAGCTGAAAATGAGTAAATAAGTACACTTTAAAGGGTCAGTATTTCTTCTTGTTGCTGATGTTGATGTTATTTTTTTGTTGCTGTAGTATCTGGCACCTTCTTCACTTTAGGATAGAGCTGTTGGTAGTCTTGATTAGCCATATAGTACTCTTTAAGAACTGAGCATCCACTGCCTCCCCAAAATAATCCACTATTTCTATCAGCATGACTTTGATATCTATTTTGGGAGTATATTTAGTGACTGCCAGTGTACAGTTTCCGATCTGTAATCTACGCTTTGAGAAACGTGTAAATGCATGTTGGCCTTGGGCCATTTGATCAATATATGTTGTGCATTTACAGTATCTGTGCAAGATGATCCTCGTGACTCTCCCAGTGAATCATCCTCCCTCTGATTGCTCAACAGTCCCACGCTGAGACCTAATGTCTGCTGACGCTGTGTATAAAGACAAGCTTCTGTATATGGTGAAACTGCAGCATGCTGTTTTTAGCTTTAAATCATCTGTTCTCAAGTAATGATGTCATAGATTTTTTTTTTTAAGCTTAGTATGAACATAACAAAACGCAGAAAAATCAAAACACATTTGTTTTGGTAACATAAGGAGCTGCTGCCCTACCAGTGAGTCCTGCCTTTTTTGTGGTTTAAGACTAGTGGTTGCTGGAAGAGCTCCTCGTGTCACCACGCTGTGCTCTTCTCTGCATGCTCTATATAAAGAAACAAGCAGGTGTGTCAGATGCCAAGTTTAATGCTGGTGGACGGCTTAATATAGGTTATGGCTATGTTTTGATTAATGGAGGTTGACAAGTGGCTATAACGGTGTTGATACCACTCGAAGGGGAAAACGATCACCTATGATAATGCTCTGCCACCTCAGTGCTCATTTGTAGCATTATTCACATTTCAAGGGCAGGATTCTGAAGGAGCCGTTTAGTCGACTACATGTGTATTATTATTTTTCTTCTTTGCCGTGGCTCACAGCCATCTGCGTGAATTGCATTCTCACAGTGAACGACCTTCAGTAGCAGGACTTGAAAGGAAGATTACACTTTAGATACTTGCATATCATTGAAACACTTGCAGGCCACTCCCATTACTTTGCACTTCTCTCTTGACACACACAAATGCCTGTATTATGTTTTGACGTCACTGTGTGCAGCGCTGGAGCACAGTTGTGCGTAATATGAAATATTTGTTTGGGTTCCCACGCAGGTTCGCAACCAACAATTGCATTATCAGTTAGTCTGGTCATTATTCTTGATTAGTCGTGATGTGTGTTAACATATCATGCCATGCCAGCATTTAAACCCCAGTGATCTTGAATACATATGGATAGGAGGGGAAAAAGGAAGTCTTTCTTCTAAATAGCTCATTAGTAACCCAGTCATGTTTTTCAACATTAAGATAAATCTGACATTTTGGGGGTTGTCATGAGATTTTTATATCATGGCTTATGTATATGACATCTGTTTACTTTTTTTTTTTGTTTGGATTTCCAATTCTTAGCTTAAACAGCAGCATGTCTTATACAATTAAAGGAACTGTCTCCTTTCGTCTGTTTCTAGGTGCCATTAGCAGTTCTCTCAATGTCATCTCCAAATTCCAAAAGGAAATTTCCACTGCTGTCTCTGATTACCTGCTGGCATCAAGATTCAGTCTGATGAAAGAAATGCCTTTTTCCCCCTTCATAAATTTCCTTTGTCCCTTCTTGTTTGTGACCTTGATTTAACCTTAGCCTCCTCGTCTTGTGTCACCCCTGTGGTTCTGAGCATATTTTTCCCCTCTTTTTTTTTTTTTTTTTTTTTTTTCTCTTGTGGAGATGGCTCTGTATCTGTCCTCTAAAAGGAATGCCGACATGGGAGTGGTTTCCATAGAAACACATTTCAGACAGCGTTGGTGTCAGTGCTGTGCCGTTTCTTGTATCTGCCTCTCAGGCTGCAATGTTTTTATTTATTTATTTATTTTTGTGAGAGAGACTGAAGTCTGCAGCATATCGTGAGCATGCATACTAACCATCTGTCAAGCAGCTTGTGCGTGTGTATGTGTGCGCCAACTGTTTGAAGGTTATTAGAGCAGAAGTGGATGAATCCTATTGAACATCATGGATGAGAAGGTGGAATGTATTATTTAGTGCTTTCACTGTGCAAATACTAGCACTATGATCCTCCATGTCTCATATGTTACAGAGCTTATACACAGTATGTGGATTTATAGAACCAGGGTGATTTTTGTTTTGGGCTTGGGTTTAAATATGCGTGATTGTAATATGACTATAGTGTACCATACGGGCAATTTATTTATTTCACTGTGTGGCCTCTTACATTGTACCTGTCATATTTGGCTCTTAAGCATGTAAAGCCTTTGGCTCTTATGCGTGCTTCCAATTGCAGACTTTATTCTTACTATGCAATGAAGCAAATTATGTTATTATACAGTAAATTTTGCCTCAATGTTAGATGAGAATCAGGCAAATAAGACCAGTTCCAAATACGTTTTATTCCTACTGTCTACTTCAGTGTCTCAGTATTTTGGGGTTAACTTCCTGATAAATTAGCAGAAAAATTCAATCTTCCATCATGTCTCTTTCTTTCTCATTGTTTACTTTGCTGTCTTTTCCTTATGCCATTTTTTTCCTTTGTTTTCAGGGAGCTTTCGGAGCTCTTCAGAAGATCTGCGAGGACTCTGCTGAGATCCTGGACAGTGACATGCTGGACCGTCCTCTGAACATCATGATCCCCAAGTTCTTGCAGTTTTTCAAACACAGCAGTCCTAAGATTAGGTATCATAATACCTCTTTTTTTCCAATTTTGCTGACTGAAGTTGATTTTAAGTTACACTGTCCTTTGAACCTTTCACTTACACATGGATGTTTTATTATTTGAAATGACCTAGTCTGTTACACTCTTTTAGAATGTGCATGGCATTGCATTTAAATTGTCTGTGAATGCTGTTTATTATACCTGTTTAGTGACGGTGCATACTTTTCAGTTAAAACTACTTTAAGCAAATGAAGATGGTTCCTTTCCTCCTCAGTAATTTAAAATTGATGAAAAACTTCTACTGGGACTTACTTGACATTCCAGCTGATATCAGCTGGTGTACCAGAACTGTGACTTTGTGTCTTGCCTGAACTATTCTCCATTTGTTGGATACAATAAAATGTCTAGTCTAAATCTGAATACACAGCCAGTATGTACATTTTCAGTCTGTCTTATGTTTCTTAGAGACGACACACAACGAGTGTCTGTTGCAGTGTAAAACTCCTGTAGAGAGAGAGCTTTCTCATATTTGGAGGTTAGATTGGAGGAGATGGGGCAAATAATAATACAGAGGCTACATTCACAGTGTGCAACATGTGAGGAAAACATGTCGGTGTGACTCTAATGTGGTTGTTACTCTGTTGCAGGTCTCATGCCATCGCCTGCGTCAATCAGTTCATCATCAGCAGGACTCAGGCTCTTATGCTTCACATCGATCCTTTCATTGAGGCAAGTCAGACTCTAATGCTCCTTTATATTATCTATTATGCTTTGTTTTTTTTTAAGTGTATCTATATGCAAAACAAATCATTGGCCCCAAAAGAAAGAAACAGAAGCTACTAAAGGGTCACTTCAATAAGGCGAGCTATTCCTCTGACAGTTTGGGATTTACCTCTCCAGTTTGTGGCTTTCTGCAATCAGTCGCCGCATATGCCAAGCCTCATGCAAATTATTGCAAATTATATTATGTTTAGGGCTTGGGAGAAGAGATTAATAATAAGAAAATTGAAGTCAGATATTTGGCAGAGGCTGAAGCACAAAAAAACTGAATAGTTAGTAGCAATTAATAGTTTAAAAGTGTAATAAATGAACTAAAGCCGTCATAAATCGAACAGCTATGACTTTATGTCCGAAACATTTGTGTACTGTGCTGAAGACAACTCAACTGAAGTCAAGCTGGGGCCTTTCTGTAATGCCAGTTTGTACCGTAAGATGGTGCAGCACCTCAATGTATGTCTTTCTTTGTTATGTCTTTTAAAGATATGGGGTATATATTTAACATTTTGATATAGTAAACTGGACATTTAAAGCAAATGGCTACAGATTATACATACAGCAAATCGCAGAACTGTGTACATTCACAAACATCTAAAACACTGGTACATTATCTGTAATGTTCTGCATTACTGTATTGACTATTCCCCTCTCAATCATATTTATTCTTATGTTATTGCCAACAGTGGTATTAACTTTAAGCTGTCGCCCTGCCCTCTGTAGAATCTCTTTGCACTGGCAACAGATGATGAGCCAGAAGTGAGGAAGAATGTTTGTAGAGCTCTTGTTATGTTGCTTGAGGTTCGCCTCGATCGTCTCCTGCCACACATGCATAACATCATAGAGGTGAGTGTATTGTAAAGATGAAGAATGACTATATTAACTAAAAGGGAGGCGCCTAAAAGCTGATAATCGGGGAATCGGTGCAGTATTGAAATGGGTTTTCAAGGTTTAGAGAGGTGGTATAGTTCTAGATTCTCCCTGTGTTCTGCAGTGTTTTTTCAATAGCATTTGGGGAAGGCAGGCACCTCAGACAAAATACTACTATGTGAGAGAGCAGGCCAACCTTAGCCTGCACCCGAATGCACACTCCTCCACACAGCTCCCTCTACAGTCTTTGAATTATATTAAGTCAGCATTTCAGATGGTCAAATGTCAAGCTTGACAGAACATTTTTGGATTATATAGTAACATAAATGGACTATCATTTATTTGGCACGTACTATAGTCCATTTAACCATTGAATGGGCATTGCAGCACAAGCCATGTTTACACACACACACACACACACACACACACACACACACACACACACACACACACACACACACACACACACACACACACACAGTACCTTTTATACATATACTTAAAACACTTTACCCAAAGCCCTTTTGGCATGCATACCTGAAGAGCCAGGATTGAATCACTTACATTAGTGAGTCAGCTAGTGGAGAAGCCACAACCAGCCTAATGTATTCATGTAAAAAGGAAATGGGGGGGATAACAGTGTGCTCTTCAAAATGAAACTTGCATGTTAAATACCTAAAAAATCATGTAGCTTGTTGTTAAATTCAGGGTGTTTTTTCTTTTTTCTTTTTTTTTTTTCTCAATAAACCTCAGGAGTGTGGATAAATATGACATTTTGAAATGGAAAATGTGGATGAACCCTGAGTAAATATGACATATGACATAAACCTCTATTAATAACACAGCAGTAAGCAACTCTGTTGTACTGGAGGTCGTTTTATGTCATTCTGATGAACATGGCCGAATAAAGTAGGGCTGTGTTTTTTTTTTTTTTTTTTTTGTTTGTTTTAATTTATTTTTCCCCCCAATTTTGCAAACATGACTTTGCTGAATAATTATTTGTTTGCCCACTAAATCTATAAAATGATAGTTTCTCATAAAGAGTTATTGCTTACTCTTTATCAGCCCATTTGCTTTTCTCTGATGGGTTTGGTTTAAACAATAGACATGCACGGGTAGCTTTTAGTTGTGTTACTGGCTTCACTTTCTTTACTCATGTATTAAAATACAAACACTTTTTGTGAATTTATCATTTTATTATTTTTATATTCATTATATCATAGTAGTCAGATGTTCAAAAGCACCAAACAAACAAATTAGAAATACTTTTTCTTTCTTCTTCTTCCTTGTGAGTTATTCATTATAGAAGACAAAGTAACCAGTTACAGTTACTCACATCACTGCTTGATTTAGACTCTTGCAAATCTTTGGACCTTATAAAACATATATGCAACGTGTACTGAACTCATGAACGTTAAAGATGAGGACAATTCACAGGCACGCACTGATGTACTATAATGTTGTGGTTCGTTTTTAGATCAGCTTATACACTTATATTATATGTGAGGTAAAAATTATTTCCAAAAGCTGTATAGATGTTGATGATCCTGGTACTATAAGAATTTATGTAGTAAGTTTGATATAGATTGTCTGTTCCCCAACTCCTCTTAGAGGCATTGATCAAACATACACCATGGTCATTATAATAAGACAAAAATGAAATGAACTATTCTCTGAACAGAATCATAGTAGTGCGTCGCAGGTTTTAGATTTGGTTGCATTCCTTCCTTTGGGATGAAATATTCAGATTTGTACGTGAAAATGTCTTTGTTTATTTGTATGTTTTGTTTTGTTTTTTAAATTCAGTACATGCTACAGAGGACTCAGGACCATGACGAGAATGTTGCCTTAGAGGCCTGTGAGTTCTGGCTGACACTGGCCGAGCAGCCGGTGTGTAAGGAAGTGCTGTGTGGCCACCTCTCCCAGTAAGAAAATACACACACACACACACACACACACACACACACACACACACACACACACAGCCAGATGTAATGTACAGACTTATGCTGGTTTTGAAAGTAGCTGATTCATAGCAGCCTTGGCAGCAAGTCAGCGAAGACCTTGTACTAGTGTTTTATTTTTCCTCACCTCACGGTGGCTGATTAAGAGTTGACCTCAGGTTTAACATCTGTCACCAAATTGTCACATTAAACTGTGTCCACAGCAGGGACCAAATGTGAGTAATTGCCTGTGAGTTCTGCCCTAACCTTGCCCTTTGTTCTCATCATTTTTCCCGCCGCTGCTCCAGGCTCACTCCGGTGCTTGTCAACGGGATGAAGTACTCTGAGATTGACATCATTCTGCTCAAGGTCAGTTTGTACTGCCTAATATGTTTACGTGACGGTACAATGATAAACTGCTCCAGGAGTCAAGCTGACATGCAGTTAAGTTGTTTGTGATGTACAAACAAATTAGAGTTGTATACATTTTACAACACAAAATGCATAGCTAATTTCTGGTTTCAGCTGACTGAACTCTCATGCTAATGCCTACACGCTGAAGAATTTTTATACCATACGTTCATTTTCAGGGAGACATTGAAGAGGATGAGGCCATTCCAGACAACGAGCAAGACATCAGACCACGCTTCCATCGCTCCCGCACTGTTGCCCAACAGCATGAGGGTGATGGAATTGAGGATGAGGAGGATGAAGATGACGAACTAGATGATGATGATACTATCTCTGACTGGAACCTGCGTGAGTTCAGTGCATATCTAAATTTAACTGTCTAGATTGCTCTGTGATGGTTGTTTCAAAATAATTCATAGTGGCTCTTTATCCATGAACTCCACTGAAAGGAGCCCTGCATTGTCTTGTAGTCCAAACGGCTAATAGAGAAGAGGAAGATCTCATTTTTCTTAGGTTTTATGTAACTTTATAATCAGTAGAACAAACATGCCACATCGTGCACCTTTTTAACAGTCCCAAAAAGCAGATGGTGTACTAATTGTCTTCTGCTTGTTTGTATTATGCTTGTTACATCTGTATGATCTTTGTTTCTGTGTATGTGTGTGCTGTTAGGCAAGTGTTCAGCAGCAGCGCTCGATGTGTTGGCCAACGTGTTCAGGGAAGATCTGTTGATGCACATCCTGCCTCTTCTCAAAGAGCTGCTTTTCCATCCAGAGTGGGTAGTTAAAGAGTCTGGAATCCTAGTGCTGGGGGCTATAGCTGAAGGTAAGAAGGGGGAAATGAAGAGAAATTGAAGAGAGGGAGGTCCCTCTTTGAATATAAAATCAGAAGAAGTACCACTTTGAAACAATACTTTTGTTATCCTTTTTCTCCAGGCTGCATGCAAGGAATGATCCCATACCTGCCTGAGCTCATCCCTCATCTCATCCAGTGTTTGTCTGACACAAAAGCCCTGGTGCGTTCTATCACCTGTTGGACACTGAGCCGCTATGCACACTGGGTTGTCAGCCAGCCTCCGGATGTTTACCTGAAGCCTTTAATGACAGAGCTGCTCAAACGCATTTTGGATAGCAACAAGCGTGTGCAGGAGGCTGCTTGCAGGTGAGTGAGATGATAAAGCAATGTCTCTCATTTTACAGCATATTAACTCTGACTTTTTTTCTTTTTTTTTTTTTTTTTGCATCTGTGTTTCCCACATATTCCCCTGAAGGATTCAGGTGCATCCAAATTTCAGAGTAGTTACTTTCACACATTGCTTTAACCCCCCATTTTTTATCTTTCCCTGCCAGTGCCTTTGCCACTTTGGAGGAGGAGGCTTGTACAGAGCTGGTGCCCTACCTGGCATTCATCCTGGACACACTGGTGTTTGCTTTCAGCAAGTACCAACATAAAAATCTGCTAATTCTTTATGATGCAATAGGAACACTTGCAGATTCAGTGGGCCACCATCTCAATAAACCGGTATGCAAAACAGAAGCATTTGCTGGATTTCACTTCACATTTCTATGCAAATCTAACATTAATACTGCTGTTGTCATGTACTTATTTTTGTAAAATATCAAAAAAGCTGTATTTGTTTGAATGTAAAATAGAATACATTGGCAGCCATTGTTATCGGTGCATTCAATGTGTGATATGTATTAGGAGTACATCCAGATGTTGATGCCACCCTTGATCCAGAAATGGAACCAACTAAAAGATGAAGACAAAGATCTTTTCCCTTTGTTAGAAGTGAGTTTCTCATGCACACTTAAAGGTGTCAAATTTTTGCATAATATCCATGATTTTTGTATCTAACCCACAATTCCTACCTTCCTCAGTGTCTGTCATCTGTAGCCACAGCACTGCAGAGTGGCTTCCTGCCCTACTGTGAGCCCGTGTACCAACGCTGTGTCAACCTCGTTCAAAAGACCCTTGCTCAGTCCATGGTGAGAATGTCTAGAATGGACAACTTAAAGACTTTCTGTGCATTTTCTATTATCTATTTATTCAAAATGAAAACATTTAAACCTGCTGGAGACTCTGCGTAGTCAAGTGGAACTCGATGTAAAGCAAAACAACAACAAAAATGGTGATTTTTATTGTGTTTTTTTTAAAGTTAACAATCTGTTAGTATTGTTTACAATTTGCTGCACTGGCCCCAAGTGGTAAACAAGGTATTTAGTGGACGTTTAACCACTACCACAGTGGGGTGGATCCATAGATGGAAGCCATATAACTTATTATTTAATATTTATTACTGTTAAATTAAGTCATGTTATATTTTCTAGCTTCATCAGTCCCAACCAGAACAGTATGAGGCCCCTGACAAAGACTTCATGATTGTGGCTTTGGATCTTCTTAGTGGACTGGCAGAAGGATTGGGAGGCACCATTGAGCAGCTGGTGGCTCGTAGCAATATCCTCACCCTCATGTACCAGTGCATGCAGGTAAGGCCCTGTAAAAGTATTTAACATGAAAAAAACAAACAAACGTAAACTGACTTGCATGTCTCACCTTGTGCTCTCTTTTTTTTCTCTAACTGTTCAGGACAAAATGCCAGAAGTTCGTCAGAGTTCATTTGCTCTGCTAGGGGATCTCACCAAGGCTTGTTTCCAGCATGTCAAACCATGCATCGGTACGTTCGGTGTACTTGACTCTGAAGCACCAGTGACAATAAATTCCAAGTAATTTTCTAAGATATTAATTTTCCTCCTTTCAGCTGATTTCATGCCCATACTGGGTACAAATTTAAACCCAGAGTTAATATCAGTGTGCAACAATGCAACATGGGCAATTGGAGAGATATCTATACAAATGGGTGAGTGCCTTTCTTTTAAGACGATGTACAGTGACACATTTAAAATCTGAATTAACTTAAGTTCTTATACCTACACTCTTAGGGCCTGAAATGCAACCATACATTGCGATGGTGCTGCACCAACTGGTGGAGATCATTAACAGGCCCAATACCCCAAAGACACTACTGGAGAACACAGGTACCACTCGGTGGTAGTGCTGAGCCCGTCAGCCAGCCAGGTTGCCACACACACACACACAAACACAGAGAGAGGGAGGTGTATACACTTATACACACACTCACTCACTCACTCAGGTCCACTTAGCCAGGATTAACTATACTTATTAGACTGCGTGTCTTTCCCTTTTAATTTCAGCCTTTCCCAAGGTATGAGCCTTACTAGTTTTGCTTGTTTCACCAAAGTATGCTGAATATTTCAGGTATTGATTTGCAGCCTGGCACAGTGGCCTGTAAGTTGAAATAAAATTAAAATGAAGCCTTGAGCAAGCCCTGGTGTGAAATTCTTAACACTCTTCAACTGAGCAAACCGTGTAAGAGCCCTGCCTTGGAATGAACTAATGTCGACTGACTTTGCTCTATGAGGTGAAGTACAATATTGTAATGAAACCAAATGCAAAGCTTACACAGAATTATAGATAGATGACTGCATAGCCTCACATAGTTACTGATCAGCTAAACAACTAATCCCAAATGACACCTAAACTGACTAAAAGTAGGGCACCTAGCTGAGATTATTTTTAGGTTGCACACTCTACTCTTGTTTGAACCAAATGCATTGGAGATTTGAATTGGATGAGTCAAGTGAACATTGCATCAAAATTATGCATGCAAGGGTGAAGTGTGACCTGCCAAAATAAAAGGAAATAAAACTAGGGACTCTATAGATGTGTTCCTGTTTGTTTGCTGTCAGTTTATTTGTTGCTTTTATTTACTGTTCTTTAAATGTGGATGCATATCTGCCAATAGATGTTAAATGTTGTTAAGAATGGCCAATGTTTGATGCAGGATACATGATAATCAATAACCATGTCTTAACAATTGGGCATCATACAACTTCAATTTTTGAAGTATCAGATCATTAACCTTTCCACTAACAGTTTCTTTCATGTTATCGATCTATAAATTGACAACGCCACAGTGAATCAAACCTTAGCAAACATAGCCATGTGTAAATTCCGTTAACATGGATGTTTCCACGAGAGCCAGCGTACCACTGGAACTATTTTTAAACTAGGTCACATAATACCACAGTTTAAGGTGGCTGTAAATTCTCGGCTCGCACAGCGGCACTCTTCAGTTTGCCTCTAATCAGCTGATCCTGCACTGAACTCTACTCTAATGAGCATACCATCTGCTTTCTGCATGTGTCATTGGACTGTTCATAAATGCCTGTTTGTTAATGAGAATGTTGCATAGTTTTGTGTCTTCTTAAACTTAGGTCCTCCCTCCTCTCTGCCTCATAAGAACCTGCTGTGCTGGATACTAGTCTCCCTCCATGTAGTTGGCTTGGAGTAATCTGTCATTTCTTTTCCAAAAGAAAAACAAAACAAAAAACATTTCTGTTTCTTATGAAAATTAACATTTGTGAGTTTAAGGGAGAAATCGCTAAGAGGGGGAAAAAAAATCCCACTGAACTGCTCTTGTTTTACGCCATACATGCTACACCTTTTATTAGCATGTGTCTTGGCACGTACAGTTTCATCAAATTGATCAATTTAAATAGCTTTTTTATTTTTTTTTAAATCCATGTAATTCCTGGAAGCAGATGCCATTGTTTGCCTTTTCTATGAATGTCCTGTCAGAGTTGTCAATGTGTTCTCCCTTAAACGTGTTGTATGTCTTTTTTTAGAGTGTCATATTTTTACATTCCTCCCTTTTGACTTGAAGGGGCAGTAATAATCAACGCTAGTGAAATCTTCTGTTTATTATCATACACAGATTCTGTTGATTTCTGTCTCTGAGTTGTTTGTTTTTTCTTTATTTTTTTCTCCTCCCCCCTCCTCATTGCTCATGTCTTGGTTGGCGTTTGGTGGTGTGTAACCGTGATTGCGTTACCTTAGCAATAACAATTGGTCGTCTTGGTTACGTTTGTCCTCAAGAGGTGGCACCCATGCTACAGCAGTTTATAAGACCCTGGTGTGTATTATTCAATCTTTTATTTAATTCATCTTCTCTCTGCTTTCTTCTGATCTTCTCGTCTGTCGCCTGTTCTTCCCTTTTTCTCCCCTGTAGCTCTCCTCCTCTTCCCCTTCTCACTCTCCTTTCTCAAAAGCGTTTTGGGTTTTTTTTTTTTTTTTTTTTTCAGTTTTTTTGGTTTTTTGTTTGTTTTTTTTCCTATCAGTTTGTAATCATTGCCAACCGTGTGACTAACCCTGTCCTCTTTTAGGTCCTACTTGTGATTTGTTTTTGCCTCAGTAGCACCTTCATGTGTTTTTTATACATTAATTTGTTTAATTTCTAGTTTTTTTTTGTCATTGTAAACTGTCGCTAACAACCTAAAAGATGCATGGGATCAGATTTTTCTTTTTTTTGTCACATGGCTGCTGGTTCAACAACAGAGAAAGGATGCAGTCTTTTAATGAGAAAGAGCATTCTTAAATTCCTTTCTCATTTAGTAGTCACCCAGCTGCATGTGCCTGTCCCAAAACGACCCCAAACCTTCTTTAGTAGATCTTCGAAAACAAAACAAAAAAGTAATGTTATATTCAAGGTGCTATAGATGAGGTTTTGCTGAACACACTGCTCAAAGACATCAGTGAAGATATTAGAAGAGTTTCTGAGTTTTAAATATTTTAAAATGCTTGATTTGTTTTACTTGAATCTCTTTTGTGTGCATGCTTCATGTGTTGTAAATCGGGAAACAATTTCATATTTAGATAAATGTGCAAAGTGATCAAAAAGTTCTGTGGCTTTAAAAAAAACCAAACAAATCATGGCAAACTTGACCAATCGCCTCTTTAGCATTGCTTCCTAGTGCACCTCTAGAAAGCTTTCAAGAGCTGCTGATCCTTTAAATCATTCCGTTTATGCTCTTTTTTTCTTTTCTTTTTTCACTTGCACACGTGCAATGACTCACAGATCTCCTTGGTGAAATGAAAAAAGTAGGGAAAGTTTTTTTTTTTTTTAAAGAGATATATTTCAGTCATTATCAATTTCTTTTTAAACTCTTCCTGATCAGTCTGAGTGGAGAACCAACAGGCTTACAAAGGTTTTAAGCATCATTGCAACAGTTCCCAGGGACTTATGTGTATGGCAGCTGCACCGCGCTTCACTTTACCATACATTACTGTGCAAATGTCAGGAAAATATGCTAGCATTGATTAAAAGTGCAGGTTTGGAGGTGTCAGCAGTGTTACTGGAAGCAGTTCAGAGGCATACGAGGAGAAAACACCGAAGTTGAACCTTGATCAGATGCAAATTGGGAGTGGCTCTTCATTTTTGTGGGTTAGTAGTTGCAGGACATTTTGATCACATTTGAAAAATGTAATTTGTCTTTAGAGTATATGAAGAAAAGGATTGATAATGAAAACACATTTGTGTCAAAGGAGGTAATTGGCTTCATTCAAAGTTGGTATTATAAACATGCATGTCAGTTTAGTAACATGTACTGAATGCATCTGAGTTTCTGTACTAGTTATTCATAGTTGCAGATTTATGCTGGTTTCTGTTGTTGCTCAAGTATTCTTAAGATAAGCGTGGTGTTAAATGTGGCCGTCCCTGTTGTCAGGTGCACCTGTCTGCGAAATATAAGGGACAACGAGGAGAAGGATTCCGCATTCAGAGGAATTTGCACTATGATTAGTGTAAATCCAGGAGGTGTAGTGCAGGTGAGATGCAGTAGAGAGATGACTGTGTGGCCACTTTGTTTTTAATAACTCTGGAAGCTGAAGCATCGCCTTATTTATTTTCTCTGGAACAGGATTTTATATTCTTCTGTGATGCAGTGGCTTCCTGGGTCAATCCAAAGGATGACCTCAGAGACATGTTCTACAAGGTAAAAGCTGAAAAACACTAACAATAAAAATCGCTGAATAAATTCTGTCAGTTTTGCCTGGTTTCAGAGTTTGCACTCAGGCTTTAACCCATTTATTGCTTATCAACAGTTATTGCTGCTCCCTAGTGACCAAATTCAGGAATGGCAGCTTTTGCAGTTGACCCTTTAAAATGCACAGGATTTATTTTGAAAAGCACTCCTCAGTATAAACATCTCGTGGTGTTTAATTTCAGATCCTTCATGGGTTTAAGAACCAGGTGGGAGACGACAACTGGAGACGCTTCGCAGATCAGTTTCCAATGCCACTGAAGGAACGGTTGGCAACCTTTTATGGGGTGTAACTGTTTCCACAGCACGTGCCTCATCGTTGGGGTTGGTACCACTCTGAAAATAATTTTTATTATTTAACCCAAAATGTTGTATTCTAATCAGGGTTTTCTCTATATACAGGTCATTCACTATGGGAGACAATATCGGGAACCATCCCAGGGAGCATGTTACCCTTTACTGGGGGGAAGGATCTGCCTGCTGAGGGAAGGGGAAGGGGTGCTGACCCCCCCTCCTTGACCTGGTGGATGGGGTGGGAGGGAGATGATAGCTACAGTTCTCAGTGCCCCTATGCACAGACAAAGGGGCAAAAGGGACTGGCAGGACAACCTTATCACTGGAGGAAAATTCATCTAATATCTGAATCAGAAGTTGTAGTTTGTTGGGGGGGGGTTTTTGTTGTTGTTTTTTTGTTTTTTGGGTTTTTTTTTGCTTTTTCCTCTCCATTTATTCTCCAAACATCTTGTTTTCTGGACTACTGAGAAGAAATGAATGTGGAAAAAATTGAGAAATCTTTACAAAACCCTGTACTTTTTGTTAGACAAGGAGAAATGTAGGTCTTCTGCTCAGATATGCGTTTATAAGAGTAAACGAGAAGTATTATGAAGTAAAGCTGAAGGTTCTTTGAGACACATTTCCTGTAAGTACAGAGATGGTTTAAAGTTCCTACAGAAAAAGCTGTTTTGTCACAAGGGAGCACATAGTTTTTGTTTTTTAAATGAGCAGCTTTTCTGAAAATGGGTAGCATGTGTATATCATTGTGGAAAAGCTGTAGTGAAATGTGTTGACAGCTGTTGTTGAGCTTTGATAAGGTTCTTTTTTTTTTTTGGGTCTTGTATTTACAGTACTCATGTTTTCTTCTACTGGAGATTTACGGCAATCAGCTGTAATGTAGCATGACGGGCTTTACACACACTGACTTAGAAAAATGTGTAAAATCTTGGCTGTGGCGTGATGTCCGAGTGAATCATTGTTTGGTCTTGTGGCGTGAATGTGACATGGACATCTATCTGCAGGCATATCAAAGCTTTAGATGCTTACTTTATCCTTTTATATTGTCTGAGCCTCGGAAAGGACAAATGAAGGAGAAGCATGCAGGATAACAAGATCCTGTTTGCTGATTATTGTGTCATTGTGTTTTGGACGTAAATGTCACAATGGCACAAATACTGTCTCAGTGATTTGTTTTTTTTGCTTTTTTGCTTTTGCTTTTTTTTTGTGACTTTGGTTGTCAGAACCATATAAACCATCAAATCAATGTTAACTATGTTAATTTCTCAATGTACTGATGTTTTTGTTATTGGTTGTTGGAATTTTTGTGCTAAAAGCATGATCTTGAGGATGACTTTCTAATGTTTTGGGTGGTTGTCACTGTGGGGTACTTTCATCTTTTGCATGTTGGTGGCCCCTTACACCCCAACTTAAAGTGGGAAGGTTGCAGGAGCTTCAATCAAGTTTTGGTTTTATTTTTATTTTTTTTATATAGCAACCATTTATGTTCAGCATCACTGTGACTTTTAAAGACTTCACAGTAATCTTGCTAGAGTGTTCTCTTCTTCACCTTTCACCTATAGTTGGATATGTAGATTTTAAATACTGTGAAATTACATGTTGTCTTCTTGTGTTGCAGTGTTATTATTATTATTATTTTTATTATTAATCTATATGTTTAAGTTGCAGATGGCCTGAATGTATTCCATGATGGATTTTTATTTTATTTTTTTTTATATTATTGTTTTGTTTAATTTTAATTTTTTACGCCCATCCATTCTTCCTCTGCTGGCCAGAGTAATAATTGCAGTATTTAAATCCTTTGTGATGCACCTAAAATGTACTTACTTACTTACCTACTTACTTAGCAAGTGCTTAAAATGAATGATGTAGCCAAACACTTTAGAATATGACCTGACAGGTCATTGAGCATTGCTGCTAAAATGTGTGGACCTTAATGCATTAAGCATCTTGATCCAATTGGGATATTAGAGTGTAGAAGTAGTTTAATGTGTTAGCTCAACTGCCACATTAAGAAATGTATTACTAATCTTAGATTAAACATTTTTTGAGGACATACACGGTGAATGCAGGTTATAATGCATCATGGAATACAGAGGCAAATACTCGTATGTGTCACATCATTATGTGTTTAGAAGTGATTTTTGTCTTGTCACATTCCAGCTTGCGGCTTGCAAAAATATGAAGTAATCGCAGCTTGACGGGGTGGATGTGCACACACTTCTGTTCTTTCTTCAAAAGATAGTAGTTCTACAAAACACACAACAATCCCAATTACTACTGTGCTATAATTTTGACGTAACTGCTGCTATACATTGTACTTGTTTCACTATATGAATATGTTTTTGTGTTTACCTCAGGGGGTGTGTGTGTGTGTGTGTGTGTGTGTGTGTGTGTGTGTGTGTGTGTGTGTGTTTGTGTTTCTGTGTTTGTGTTTCTATTTGTTTTGGGTTTTTTTTTTTTTTTGTTTGTTTGTTTGTTGTTGTTTTTTTAATCGATTTCCTCATGTCTCCACCTTTCCACATCTCTTCAAACAAGAAAGATTGGTTTAAAAAGCCACCCATCATCAGTGGGTGTTACTTCACATTAGCATTAATACATACAACACTGCTAGCTGAACAGTGGGATTACAGTTGGAAACCAGGAAGTAGGAACGATTCCTACTTCTACATCCTTATTGTCAAACGTGATTGTTATCAGGCTTAGGTAAATGGTGTAATCTCTGCACAATGCCTTTAATGCAAATACTTTGAGGATTTTTGCTGGGGTTTTGCAATAGAAGTACAGTACACTGTATGTAGAGATGCAGGTGAAAGCTGATTTAAAAGCAATTGCATATGTTGACAACTCTGCAAATATAGGTTTGACTTTATGAAGCTTTATTGAAAAATTTGTATTTTATAAAGCACCCATCAATATTAAGGAATGTCTAGTCAAGGAGCTCTAGTAGTCTAGTTTAATTAGCCTTTAAACTTGATTAGATTATCTGCCTTCATCCTTTTGCTAATGAAAGTGAAAACATCATTCTCATAGACATGTTTTGATTTTTCTTTTTTTTTTTTATAAGCTGCTGAATTTTAAAAATAAGTAATACTTTTGGGGCCACCAAATATTTTGGATCATGCAAAGACTCTATATTGTACTGTAGTAATTTTGTAATATTTGTAAGATGATATAGTGGGTGTGACTGGTTACCATAGCTTGAATCTGTACATTGTTCCAATAAATTGTTTACATTATTGTGGGCCTTTATCATGTATTTTCTCCAAGTCTTTTTTTTTTTTTTTTTTTTTTGGCAATGTCACTGGTACTTTATCAGGCTTTGTGAAATTGGAATTACACAAATAGCAGACTCTGTCCACTGTGCCGACTGTAAATGGGCCTTTAAATACAATGTTTATTTATTTATAAAGCACTTTAAAACAGCCACAGCAGATGTAAAGTGGTTGTACACAAAAGTGAATAAGTAGAGTGAAAGCAATCATTTACAAAAACAACTATCGTACAACAAAAACAAGTAAGATCAATGTCTCACACTGGGTCGAAGGCCAGGCAGCATACAGGTGTTTAAGACAAGATTTAAAAATGAACAATGTAACTGTCTAACGTGGAAAGACGATTTATTCCAAAACCTAGATGCTTGTTGCCCAACAGATGATTAGTTGCAAAACCTTGAAAAGTGGCATACTGCTAAATCTATAAATCAGTTTAAATAAATGTAAAGGCTTATTCATAGACTTGGTGTTGGAAGACCTTTTCTTATGCTTTAAATAAACCACAACCGTAACAAGAGTATTTGCTTTTGCAATATTGGTAGAACGTGTGTTGACTAAACAATCCCACTGGAAAAGGACGTTTAAACGGGTATGAATAATCTTTACCCACTAGTGCACAACAAATCGGCACATAGATTTATTAAACAGGGAGACATATCTGTAGATGCTGAATTCATAAGTAATGCTAACTAAAACAAACAGTGATATAGCTAATAATATCTTACTATTTATTTTTATATACTATTATTTTCACATAGCTGCGTTATGGTTTATCTGTATTTTAGTCAATCTCGGCCTTCTATGTGGGGAATTTTCGTAAAGCATGTGAAGGCAGCATTTCATCCGGCGACTGTAGTGTCTCTCTTCGCCATTGATAGCGCTGTTTCACCCACTGAACGTCTACATTTCTACGGGAATAAACCATAGGGGAGAGACGCCGGGTGGAGGTGGAGTCTGTAGGTGGGGAGGGAGAAGAAAGGGGAGAGGAGGAAAACGGGGAAAGGCAGATACAAGAGAAACGGGGGGAGGACGGTGGATGATATACGCTTCAAAAGTTGCATTACAACAAACTGAAGAGTTGTGGCGAAGAGTAATAAAGCAAGATGATAACGCCGTACTTCCTAGAGAATTTCTGGGTAGGTGGTGCTTTTTTATTCACGGTGTTTACACCGGTGCTATTATCATGCTATGTTCCCTCCTTATCATGTTCATGCCAATCAGGAATCAAGTGTTATTCGTTTTGCAGAGGAAGTCGTCTAGCTCACAAGCTTAGTTCCCTCTGAAGTCGCAGTGTCCTGGTCAGCAACCCCGCGGCCACCGCTAATTTCCTTCGGCAAATATTTTGCTACCCCGGGGTTTGGGCCTCTGTGAACCAATCTAACTTGAAACGTCGAAGCGTCCACCCCTGTTTTCTGTCAATTGGCTCGGTCAGGATCGCTTGGAACGTATATGGTCAGTTCCCTGAATGCTATTGGACGCCTCGGCTGTCAGTCATAGCCGTTGGTCGTACGCGTCATTTTCTTCCGTGACAAAGTTTCAGTGAGATACCAGATGTTAGTAAGTTAGAATAGATTTTAAAGCCTCAATACCAACCTAAATAGCGATACTTTATTTCGTACAGCGGGTGCCGCAGAGCACTGGCTGTGTTAAGCTGAGCTCAGCGCTTTCTGCGTACTGCCTAAAGGTCATTTTTCTCCCGATAATAATTTGACGTGGCTGTGTCAAAGCAGGTGGGAAAGTAGAAGTCTACCGTTACTACTTGTTGCACTACACTGAAGTCACAAAGATAGTGCCATTAGAAGTGAAACTCGAACAGTATTGGCCTTATTAGGGCTACTCCTCCATGTCAAGACGGTGTATGTATTGCACTATAACACTACGGCAAGTATTGGTTATGCGTCATAGCTAAAATGTTACAAATTCTTACAGCGACATAGTTTTGAATAAAACCCATGGGTAAATTTGTACCTAACTGTTGTAACTTCCCCCTTTCTTTTTCTGTTCTTTTAAAAAAAAAAAAAATCTGTTACTCATTTATATATAATACAACAGGACTCTCAGCTTGAAACAACCAATCAGAATCTGTTCTTGTCTTCTTTAAGGTGGACAAACACATCCTTAAGTTTTAGCCTTAGTTGAACTCTGGAGGTGATCCAGGGCTTATAAAGGGGCTGTAATGAATATTTGTGGAAAACTACATTAAGCTAAGTGCTTGAAGTAATTACCAATAACACTGCTGTTACCCACTAACGCCTTTTTTGTTCCTAAATGAGAGTTCATCAATATCTAAAAGGCAAAAAGAGGAGCAATCAGAGACACTCCTGACTCTTCAATCTGCCCTTTGTGCCCTGCTGTGAGCCACAAGAGAATCCAGTGATGGTCGCGATCAGCTGTGTGTTTAACATGCAGGACACACATGAGCGCACATACTTGGCACTGGGAGGAGATGCATCCATTTCCCTTTTGACTTGACTACAAATCATCATCATCTTTATCAGACGTATTGAGTTTTTCAGTTTGTTTGTTATATTGCTAAGCAGAGAGGCTTTCCCCATTCACATCCCATGCTCTTTCACTTTTTTTCGATGTTTTCATTGGGGGTTTTTTTTCTCCCTTTTTTGTCATCTATACAAAATGGATCTCCTCAGCTGAATATACAAGTTCTTTAGGAATTCAGGCAGTGCTGTTTATCTGTCATAGTTGCAGCACTGGACTGGTCACCAGCTGTAACATTTCTACTCCTTGGATTTATTTGCAGGCTTTGTTTCATTTCCTTTTTCTCTCTCTGTACGAAATCTAAGCAAGAGTTTGGTTTCTCGATGGAAGTTCTGGCGCAAAAGTGCAAGATGTGGCCTATGTGCTGAAATGCCTGAGTCATTGGATTGTTGTAGCAAAACTATGATGACCTTATGTTTAACATGGAGTCTCAACAGAGCACTAGCACTGACTAGGCAGTATAGAGACAGCTAATATGTTGTCTTATATATTGTCCCACACTTCACACGCAGTGTCCCACTGACACGGCAAAGAGTGACGCTATTAAAGAGGTGGACAGGAGTGGCACACATCCTTTTGGCTACCTAATTTTCTTCAGCTGTCTCTGAAATCAAACCAGCATGGCTCTGCCTTCAGAGGAAGGGCTTGTTGAGGTTTTGTAACTGGATTGAATGGTGGTTCAACCCAACAGCCTTGAGAATCAGTAGCAATTTTCTAAGATTACCAGAGAGTGAAAACATTACACTAATTATGGTTTTTTTGTGAAACAAACATTCTGCCTCTTGCTGTTTGTTGTTCATTCTTCCCTTTATATTTAAACGAGTCGGTTTTAGTTGCATTAGACCAACCCGTTTTGGCGTTATCATCCCTAACAAGTTAAGTAATGGTCAAGTTTTCGTTTGTATCTACCACAAACAAAGCCCAGCCTCTGTGTGCATACCGCATACTAAAGCTGTGTGTGTTGTCTGTGATGAGCTGTGATAGCTCAGTGCACCGCTCCCAGACCTCTCTGGTCACATGACTGAGGCCAGACACTCTGATGTCAAGGTGCCGTCTGCGCAGCTCATGGCTGTGTGCTCTATAGGCTGTACCAGGCCACCGTTTACAGTCTGCGTTGGAGAGACACTGTGTTGTTTGGCTCTGTCTAAATTCCTCAGGGACAGCGTGCAATTCTTTCCACTGCTCTCACCTGAGCACACACCGGAACAGGAGAAGAAGTCATGTCAGCTGAGACACTTCTAATCCTGTGTATTGTTTCCCCCTTCCTAAAGCACAACATCAGTGCTGTAATAACAAGCATGGGAAACCTATGAAGTTTTTTCATAGGTTTCCCCTAGAGCTTAGGTAAACTGCTACACTGTACCACTTTCCTGCTTGCATACCATAGATTTACACACTTGGCACCTATGTGCTATAATTCTTTTGCCCATACTCCCATTTTCACACATTCAGCACATTAGAAATTTTTAAATTGTAATTTTTTTACTCAAGCACATTTATTATATGTCCTACATATATGTTGTTTAACTGAAAAAGCATTGCACACAAACATCAGTGGTTTACTGAGGCAGACAAACTTACAAATAAAAATAGTCTGAAATAATGTAAGCATTCATTTGCTCCCAGGCTTAGTTTTT